TATTCTTTTTACAGTACTTCATCTCATACCATGAGACCTCGGTACACGCCTCGTATATTGGGAAGGAAGTTTGCACTGACATCAACAGCTTTCAAATATCTGGATATTGGAATTACCGTGGGACCTGTGTCCTCTGTAGAGCTGCTTATTGGCGACAACCGAGGAAATCAGATAGTTCTGCCTTATGCTACTTGGAAAGCGTTTATCGAGAGACGTGCCGACATCGAACAATTGTTGCAGTCTGCTGAGATATCATCGCTAAAGGTTCATGATTTGATTGTGCAACTTGTAAAAATGTACGAGTCGAATACTGTAAAATTAACATTACATGATACTTGTATGCACATGAAGCCGTCAACCATGCTCTTCATGCTTGATCTTGAACATTGTATCGGGCATGCGTACTTTGACTTAAGTCAAAAGATTTGGAATGTGAATGATAAATATCAATATTTTGTAGGTTACTTGCGTGATAATAATTGTAGTGCGAATAAATATGGTGCAATAAATGTTTTGCGGAAAATATATGATAAAACTTCGCCTATAGATTGTGAATTAATAGCTTGCGCTTCTAACAATATTGTGTACGATGCGTTACATAAATAAATGTGTATTTAAACATACATCAAAATATTTCTTCTTATTTCTTTTTACCTGTTTCTGTTGAAAGAAAACGGGCAGAGAAAATATCGGCGAGACAAGGAGAAAAGAGTGAATTGTACAATATACATGGTAGGATCTTTCTAAACTATAAAGATAAATAAATTCCATTAGAGAAATTAAGTTTTTTTTTTGATGGAACGTTATTTTACAATATCCTGAAACGTTTATTATCAAGGAAATACTCTTAAAATCAAAAAGAATGTGTCTAGACGCATTATTCTCAAAAAGAATGTGTCTAGACGCATTATTCTCAAAAAGAATGTGTCTAGACGCATTATTCTCAAAACGCATTTTACTGTGTCAAAATCTTACAGAAATGCGAGAAAAAAAAGGAATGTTATCTTTACGATCTCATTTTTCACAATCTTATAGAAATGTGAGAGAAAGGAATGTTATCTTTACGATCTCATTTTCAAAAAATCTTATAGAAATGCGAGAGAAAGGAATGTTATCTTTACGATCTCATTTTCAAAGGTATCTGTATACCTGTCTATACTCTCTCAACATTATACACAGTTTCGACTAAAACCCATTCGTCTCGCAATAAAAAATAAGTCATATTTCAAAATGCTAGCAACCCTTAGTAGGGTATAAACGAAGAGACTGGCAGTACATTCAGTCAGTAGTTTGGAGTTCCAAGTGGTGCATCAAAATATATATTGTCTCACTCGAAAATAGAAAACAGTATTGCAAGAGATCGAAATGGATATCGAAGAAATAATAATTGACAGTGATGACGAAGAAATAGCAGTAGATAAAAATAATGAAGAAATAATTGTAATTGAAAGTA